TGACCGGTCAAAGGTCAAATTTTCCGAAAAAATCAAACTTTTTCAACTTTGCGCAACGATTGCGGCAAAACGGTGAGAGATATTAACTTCAAACCTTCAACAACGTATTCCCCACTCAATTCTGCATCATATATGGTGTTTTTGGTGTATTTACCCTATAAAAGTAAGAGGCCTATTGCTGATGAGTGATATGGTGTCACATCACCCTCCGGTGTTTGTCCCGATTCGTCGGCTGTTGACCACTGCTCCGCTATAAATACGGTAGGTAACGACTCAGAAAAGATATGTGGATATCCACTGCAATGTGGATAGCATCAGCAGAAAACCTCGGGACTCGGTACACACTTCGTGAAAATCCGGCCGGAGGCTGTACCTCTTATGACGTCATAACTCCGTGACCTGACCTGACCCGGTCAATTTTCTTGCACCACACGATAGCCAATGCTTGCCCCAACATGCATGGGAAGTTTCATCATGATCCATCAAACAATGTGGGTATCACCGGCAGAAAACCTAGGGATTCGGCGCACACGTTTGGTAACTGTCGGCCGGAGGCTGTACCTCTTATGACGTCATAACTCCGTGACCTGACATGACCCGATCATTTTTTTTCGGCAAAAGATGCGCAAAGGTTGCCCCAGAGGATATTGAAAATTTCAGCCCGCTACGACAAGCCGTTTAGCGTGCACTTCGAAAAAAACCTCAGGGGGGGGGGGTTGATACAACCCCCCCTAGGCGTTCTAGGGTTAACTTGCCAATTTACCGGCGTGTATTTACGAGGGAAGGGTAAGCCGCCGTGTTTAAGTTAGCCATTGTGTAGATGGAATTTACGAGCGCGACTAGTCTCACCACTTTCAGTTGGGAACTCTCCACGCTCTGAACTTTCGGCTCTCCCGTGCGCTCGTTCTATTTCCAGGGTAGTCAGCGTGTAGCTCCTAATGACAAATTGCCTATCTACATAATAACAAATGGACAGTTCGCCGTGGGCTACTGCACGCCTTCTGACTGCCACAGACATAACTGGGCCGCCGAGCAGCCACGGCTAATCTAATGCAAGTCAAATGTACTGCGGGGGAGCAGTCACACCTCCCCGTACTGGGGGTGGGAGGCAGGAAAGGACTGAGCTGGGTGTTCGACCGCCGGGGGAGGGGAATGCACCCGAGTGGGGTCGACAGGATGGTGTTGAACACTATACTGTGTTTCGAAATTCGTCATGCATACCTGCGCTTGGACGCATACATACAGTATCCAGGTTCCAGGGTGGCTTAGATAAGCGTGCTTGAAATTTTCAGCATGCCCAACCTTCCGCGCTCGCTAGATCGAGGAAGGCGTGATAATTGCTTGGCAACTCTTAAAGGTAGTGTGCCAGCTTTCCTGGACCGTATGGAGTTAATGGCCCAGATAAGGAGAACCGGATTTTTAGAACTTATCCATACCTTCAAAACTCATGGAAACGTCTTAAATTCTTCAAATTTTGAGTACCCCAGTGCGAAATTCGCCCCGACGGGTTGTCGGTCGTACCCCAACCACATTTCACACCACTATGAACAATAAATGCACACACTGAAATCGCTATTACCGATATGCTCATCCAATCAAGTTTCGATAAACCCGTTCATCATCATCTCCTGCGGTTTCGAACACGCCTGTTAGGTGGTGCGGTAGACCGCGCCCAAAGCCAGGGCCCCGGTAACGTGAGGTAGCCGAGTCGGGGCAGCGTGCGCGCTGACCCAAGCCGGGGCCGCGCGTCCTCCCGGTGTCATGTGATAGCCCGGGGCTGCCCGCGGGGATGCGGTAGACCGCGCCCAAAGCTGCGGCCCTGGCTTGGGTCAGCGCACGCTGCCCCGACTCGGCTACCTCACGTTACCGGGGCCCTGGCTTTGGGCGCGGCTTCTGCTCATACTTTGTGGTGCGGTGGTGGTGCGTCGGGCCGCGCGCTCTGACTTCGGCCAAGAAAAATGCGTCAGCTGATCATTGTCATTTCTGCCACTTGCGTGTGGTGAAATGGGGTCATAACTTAAGAGACGGCTTTTTCATATCAATTATTTTACATAAAATCATATTTCAAACCATAAATAATGTTCGACAGCCAAATAAAAGAAACAATACCAATACAGGCTTACAGTTTACGGCTCGACATTGTGCTGTCTACGATTAGACAGCTGATAACTCATTCCCGTACGTCGTAACTCTATAATGACCTTTGCTTATTGTCACATGTGCGCCGCATTCGCGATTGTTGCCGACGCCTGTTTGCAGGCCAGCCCACTACAGTTGTTATACATATCGAAAAACCGATAAACTTTTAGGCGAAAAAGGCACTATTCCAGGCCCATTTTTGATTTTTTTTTTTGCGATATTAGGTAAAAACAGAAGCTTCTTATCCTAGGAAAAATAAAATGGGAAATCTTTCAAAGGTGGCACACTACCTTTAAAGACCATTAAAGAATAAATCTGGTTATCTTTAATTCCTGGAATGCACTTAAAGCTGTGCGTTATTTGATAAGGAAAGATTAATGACATTTTTCATTAATCAAATGAAATGAAATCGTAACCGTTAATTTTTGAACTGAAGGAGAAGTGGTACCAAAATTTATTAATTCATTTTAGGTCAGGTTTTGACTTTAACGGATAGTGTCGATAATGAGCATATGGCTATTCTTCTGCGCTATTAAATGAAAAATTTGAACAAAGATTGTGCTGTTTGATATTGGGAAAAACGTCTTTGTGTGTGATATCTGTTTTCTCAATTGGGAGTTCATTAAGACATAAAATCAGTCAGCTGTCTAGAATCGTGTTCTCTGTTGAATAATTGATCATCAAAATCCAGGACATCTAAAATATCGTTCAAGTCTGGGACCTTCACAATGACAAATATCGCCGTTGACGTTTCACGACACCCCAGGAGGTCAATACATACTCGGGTCAAGAGAAAACAACAATCACGTCTGCGCCCCACACCAGCCAAGAGGTCAGGACAGTGCATCGGATTGCTTAACGGGCAGGGACCGCTAATCGGCGCCCCGGGGCCGGGGAAGGGGGAGGGGGGATGACCGGCGACCCATATCGCGGGAAGAGGGGGCGAGTGGCGACCCACGGCGCGGCGCGGCGACCTTTTCACGGCCTCGGCCTGCTCGCGTGCCCCGGAGACGAATGGCCTCTGACCGTCGACAATGGTGGCGAGCTGCGACAATAGCGGCGCGCGAGAGGCGCGGCGCGCCGGCGTCCGGCCGGCTGATGGTGGCTCGTCGCTCGGCCCCGGGCGGCCGGACAAAACAGGGCCGCGCCGGGCCGCGCCGAGAAATGGACCTCTGTCGACGCCGAGCCGGGAATCGTGGACAAAGCGGCAGCGCAGATCGTACACGGACCCGAGTCGGAGAGCGCCCGACGGTCGGCCCGGCCGGCTCAGATCTATGGGCGCTATTTTTGGACAGAGACGGTTTTTGAATGCGGAGATAGCTGACGTTTTTATGTTGTCATGACCTTTGTGTATTTACGAGTGACCCGGTGCTGTGGAAAGCACGTTGTTGAAGAGAGCCTTCTTAGTTCAGCTGAGCAGTTCGGACATGGGAGGATTGAATGATGCTGAAAGCTTTGCGTGATTCTTGCCGGAATGCATTCGACGATTGTCTGCACGTCACGCTGGGAGGGGTGGGGGAGGGGACCATTTTTATCGACTTACATATCTGGTTTGTCTGGTCTGTCTGTCTAGTCTGTCTGTCTATGTATCTGCCTGTCCGTCTGTCCGCCTGCCTGCCTGCCTGCCTGTCTGTCTGTCTGGTCTGTCTGTCTGTCTGTCTGTCTGTCTGTCTGTCTGTCTGTCTGTCTGTCTGTCTGTCTGTCTGTCTGTCTGTCTGTCTGTCTGTCTGTCTGTCTGTCTGTCTGTCTGTCTGTCTGTCTGTCTGTCTGTCTGTCTGTTTGTCTGTCTGTCACACTCTCAGCCACTTTGCTGACAATCACCGACGGCTCTGGTGCTCACGCTCCGTTACACCAGCAACAACACCGAACCCCGAGAGTGACACCAAAGGGGGAATGGGGCGGGGGAGACGGCTCCCGACGGGACCGACGGCGGCGCTGACATCGAACTCGACGCGCCAGTGCCGAATAGGGAACTCGCTCAATGAGTACCCGATGCCCTCAGAGGCTCCTCTGTGACAGTGTGCATTTACGGAGCAGTGAGCTAGCGCAGCCATGGTGGGAGCAGCTGATGTGCTAATTCTAATTTGCGGCCCTTCAGTGCAGCGGGATTCCCTAATTTACTTGGGTGCTACCGTAAAGGCGTTCGCTCGTTGTGTGCGAAACTTTCAGCCAGACTGTCCAGTGAGCACAGATACCATAGTGAAGGCTCAGTGAGACCTCAGTCAGATTTCAATCTGACATCTGTCGGATCTCAATCTCTGACCTCTCAGTATCTGACTTCAGTATCTGACTTCAATATCTGACCTCAGTATCTGACCTTTGTACAGCCCACCGCTAAAGTAATGTAAGGTTTTACCAATCTCAACGGATGGCTTTGACTGCCGATATTTTAATGCAGAGTGATCGAAATGAAGACGTCAATAGATAAAGTTGCAGCTGCAAGGGTAACGATACAGGTTAGCTACATTCAAAGTTGCATTGTGGTCTGGCTAATCATTCCTAAGCTTCAGAAGCAGAACATACCCAGGACTGAAACCTCACATTACTTATGCTGTGGACTGTACCTGACGTCAGTCTGACCTCAGTATCTGACCTCAGTATCGGACTTTAGTATCCGATCTCTGTATTTCACCTCTGCATCCGACGTCAGTATCTAACCCTCGTCTGATCTCAGTATCTGACCTCAGTATCTGACCTCAGTGTCTGACCTCAGTATCTGACCTCAGTGTCTGACCACAGTATATCTGACTTCAGTATCTGACCTCTGTATCTGAAGTCAGTCTCTGACGTCTGTATCTGACATCAGTATCAGACCACAGTATCTGACCTCAGTATCTAACCCTCGTCTGACCTCTCTGCAGTGGTGATCTCGACTGAGCGGAGGCGCGCTCGACATGCTTTGCCGCTACGGCGCCGGTTGGCTGCTGATTTGGAGCGCTCTGGTGGCGGCCACATTGGCCAGAGTCTCATGGACGCCCATCTACCCGGCCAGCAACAGTAAGCAATGGAATTGGACCCCCACCTACCAGGCCCAGACACACTAAATCACAGACACCTATCCACAAGCTACGAAATAGCGGTCGCAGAAACACATCTTACCTGCCAAACACACTAAACAGCTATTCGCCTCGTCTGAGCTACAGGAAGGTTTCCTGTGTGATTCTACCCAATGTTTGTTGTATCGACTGTTTTGATCACACTGCCAGGTAACGTACTCCCCAGCTGTGGTGTTGTTTATTTGATCGGGCCCACCCGGTGCGTGGGTGACAATATTGGTGCCGTCTGGGACTGGGGCGATCGGTCTCGGGTTTGTCTGCTCTACTCTCTGTTGGGTTGGGATGCAGGGCGATCTGAGAATGTATGTTGAGGGCGAGGCTGCATGCTTAAAGATGCTTAGACCGTCTATCGCATGCATTAATAATATAGGCAAGGCATTCATTAGACAGAAATTGTGCTGTTTTCATGTTATTCACCCAATTTAGCCTTTCAAAGCGGCTTTCAGAAGACTACATATATGAGCAGACAGATGAGCAAATAAAAGTAAAGAAAACAGCTCTTCTGGGATGAATGCGAGCATCGTTCGAAAATGGTTCGCTTTTGGAAAGCATGACCTGAAATTTGGGGCATCAGAGAGAACTATCTTTCCTTGATTTTCACCATTAATTGGGTGCTTCTTGTTTTCTGATAGCACCGGCTATTTCTTTCTTATTCGGCTTGTTACGACATGAGAATATGTAGACAGGTACTGGTACTCATATTTCTGCAACTTTATGGTTACGAGTTTCTCGCGCAAGTGTGAACAGCTATATATTTGTATCGTCGACTTGTTATGGAAATGATCTCAGCTCGGTGATTGTTCTGTGTTTGTCTGCGGTTCGACCCAGGCGCCTGGCTCGGAAGCTGGTCCCCCTATATGTACGATTCCGTGGGACAAAACAGATTGATGTGGCAACACGAGGTCGCTACGGGAATAACAGACGCGCACACGCATACATAATGCATCTGAAAAGTGAGTTATTGTTCGCATTGCCGCCAAAGCCGTCCCATTTGTACCCAATTGAAGTCTGAATAATTGATGGATCTGTCGGAAGAAAGCTATTTATTGTTACTTAGTAGTCTGTATGCATGGGCTAGGAACAATTTGTGAATTTGTTCATTCACATATTTTACCCCAAAAATAATTTTTCATTCGTATCTAAAAACGCTTATTATTTCCGTAAAGTTTACAATCCTATTACAATCCAGATTGCTTTTGACCTCGAGGGGGCCTGATGGTTCATCAAAAAGTTTGATGATTACACGATTTGGTAATCCATTAGCGAATATAGTGGACTGGACAGTCTTTGTCACAAAGAACCTAATCGTGATTGTTGTGAGGCTCATGGTATATGAAGGTAACCAACCCTCTTTCCGCCGACCGATTACTGAGCTATTTTACCCTTAGTGGTGTGGGACGGAATACGCTCCCCAGTCCCCTCGAACGCCTTGATAAGATTTGATAAGAACGCACAAATTTTGGGACCGCTATCAATCGATGGCAGAATGTGCTCTGAAGAGCTAGGGCTAGTATCTTGAACAGCGGCGGCCCAAGAGCACAGTTTTTGGGAGGGTTTCCTCTAAAATCTCATGTCAATGTGGACAAGTGTCACTTGATCCTTTTCCTCTTATTTGGAACAAATCTGCTGGTTCTCAGCAACAGTATCCGGGAGCCTGCCACTATGGTTTATGCTCTCGCACATTCATATGAGTTGGTTAAAACAGCATTCCTTTTTATAAAACTACTTCAGATTTTCTGATGACAGAATGATTGACCAATAAGGATGTTGATTGAAGGAACACATATTGAATGTGAAAATGGGCTCCGACTTGTGCCTTTACTCCGACTTTAGCTGCTATATCCGACCACATTTTGTTTGGGAGGAAGGTGGCTGCTAAATGGTATCACTAACTAAGTTGCCAGTTCTCTTACACTGATAATTCGCATTCAAAACTTAGGGCTCAGTCCCAATGCTTTTAACATTTTTGTACATATTGACGCCGCTTGTTTTCGTTTAATTCAATTCAAACTTTTAGACTTAATTAAATCTGACCAACAAAGCAAAGCAGTAGCTGTATCTGTCCGTTCTAACCACCCTCCCTCCCCTCCCACAGACCAGATCAGTGGGGGAAACTGTGGTCAAATCTTCTATTTTTGGAAGCCTTCCATTTTTGGAAGGACCTTCCATAAATGGGTATGCATTTTCCAAAAATGGAAGGCTTCCAAAATTGGAAGGTCTAATCTCAGTGTTCCCAACTGTGATTCACATTCTTTGATTTAAGTTACGGCCTTTTTAAATGTGTAACATTAATAGTTGATTTTGCCATTTATGATCATTGATATAAGGAGAAGCAGCAGTGCTAGTGTTGGTAATACAGGCATGCTATGTCAATGTACATAGTGATATAATAGCATGGTGTCCTGGCGCACTGCTCTCTTTTTCTACTTCTAGAGGACACATAGAAATTCAGAAGCGAAAACAGCTGGTCAATAACCAACCAGGAGGAACACAGCTATAGCCCTGACAAAAAATGGTTTAAATTAAACTTACTATTCCTCATATAAATTGAAGATTCATGCTCCTTCGATAGAAAGTAACACGAAAAACGGCGCAGCAACGCCTATTTAATTCGTCCCATATTCCGGAAAAAAACATTGAAAAATGACGAGACCTCCACCCAAATGTTTGGCAAAAGCCTTAAAAAATTGAAATCAACCACACAATATGCTAATAAATGCAGAAAACGGCAACAAATACAAGTTTTACTCGCCACTACACTCCCGAAACCGCCGCACTCTGTCCAGACAATTCCGCACTGTAAATAAAGTCGGCGGTATCGAACAAGCATGGCCCGTCACTAAAGTACTTTTAAGGATATTTACTTTTCGTTTTTGATGCTTTTTGCTTACAAAATGTTTGATAAAGTCTTATAAAAACCATCGTTTGTCGGTAAATTTTTGTCAATTTTCCACGACTCATTACTTTGAAAAATTACCTAAAATACATCCACGCTAGGATTTAGGCATCCACGCTAGATTATGGACACTTCACTATGGCGAATAGAAAGCGACCAGGGGCGATAGTCGCATTTGCCTCATGTTCGGCGGAAATCGGTAAGTTCCAACATATGCGCAACATTTTCTATATTTGGGTACGATGACGTCGTCAGCGTACCCATTTTTGGAAGGTGCGTACCCATATATAGAAAATCCTTCCAAAAATGGAAGGCTTTCTAAAAATGGAAGATTTGACCACAGTTTCCCCGACTGAGATAGACCTGTGGACCCTGCGGGACAGCGGGTGTCCCTTCTAACCTCCCCTCCCTCCCCTCCCACAGACCAGATAGACCTGTGGACGCTACGGGACAGCGGGTGTCCCTTCTAACCTCCCTCCCTCCCCCTCCCCTCCCACAGATCAGATAGACCTGTGGACGCTACGGGACAGCGGGTGTCCCTGTCCGTTTGCACCGTCCCAGCGAACCTGCGCGTGCTGTTCGGTGGACGGCGGCTGCCCGTGCGGTCGGGCCGCACCGTCCCGCTGCGCACAGTGCGGTCTGCAACAGCACTGCACCAATAGTGAGTATAGAGCATAGCTCGACACCAACAGTGGGCACGACATTGCACCAACAGTCAGCATAACACTGCACCAAAAGTGAGTAAAACACTACACAAACAGTGAGTTCAGCACTGCACCAAAAGTTAGTACAGCATTGCACCATAGTGAGTAGGGTGCGTATTATTTAGGCCAGGGTTCATAATGTCCAGGGCACAATGTGTCCAGTGCTCGAAATGGCCAGTGCCTTGAATTGGCCCGTGTTCACATTGTCCAGGGATTACATGGTCCAAATGTGGCCAACTTATCTGGGGTGCGTATTATTTAGGCCAGGGTTCATAATGTCCAGGGCACAATGTGTCCAGTGCTCGAAATGGCCAGTGCCTTGAATTGGCCCGTGTTCACATTGTCCAGGGATTACATGGTCCAAATGTGGCCAACTGGCTGCAGATAGGGTAAATTCAAAGAGGCCAGGGTTCATAATGTCCAGGGCACAATGTGTCCAGTGTTCGAAATGGCCAGGGCTCATAATGTCCAGGGTACGATGTGTCCAGTGTTCGAAATGGCCAGGGTTCATAATGTCCAGGGCACGATGTGTCCAGTGCTCAAAATGGCCAGTGCCTTGAATGGGCCAGAGTTCATAGTGTCCAGGGATTACATAGTCAACCCAACCCAACCAAACCTAACCTAACCTAACCTAACCTAACCTAACCTAACCTAACCTAACCTAAGGTAATGATGTTTGCCTACCGGGGATAAGGAAATAGTTTCTCGCATGAATAGATTGCAAGCAATAGTAAATCAAATATTTTTAGGTTAAGTGGTTATGCATCAGGCTTCAGGCCTTCGGCCTGAAGCCAGATACATAACCACTTAACCTAAAAATATTTGATTTACTATTGCCTGTAATCTCTCCTAAGGCATTGCCTTCGGCACTGCACTGCTTCGCATTGAGCTGGTTCCGTGTTTTTTACATAATGACGTCACTATCAGTGACTATGTAATCCCTGGACATTATGCACTCTGGCCCATTCAAGGCACTGGCCATTTTGAACACTGGACATATCGTGCCCTGGACATTATGAACCCTGGTCATTTCGAACACTGGACACATCGTGCCCTGGACATTATGAACCCTGGCCTCTTTGAATATACCCTATCTGCAGCCAGTTGGCCGCATTTGGACCATGCAATCCCTGGACATTATGAACTCTGGCCCATTCAAGGCACTGGCCATTTCGACACTGGGCATATCGTACCCTGGACATTATGAACCCTGGCCAGAATGAATGCTCCCCAGTGAGTACAACACTTGACCGATAGATTATTGTACATATTTTTAAAGTGAATAGACAATAGACATGTCTCACTGAAATCTGTTGCTACATTATTATATCCAGTAATTATTAAATTTCAATGTGGAGCCGTACTTAGCTTCTTTCATTTCCAGAGCCCTGCAGCAGATTTTTGATCATTAGTTATAGAGCGAACCGCAGTAGTCGCCACTCGTTCTTACATTTGGCTGTCAGGACCGGCGTGTCTGGTCCTACGTTATAGAGACATATGGCTCCCATAATGATGCCATTCCATGTCGCCGGGTCGACGCCGACAGCGCTCTCTCTGGGCCAGTGATCTCTGGACCGCTGACGGCTGATCTCTGGACCTCTGACGACAGATCTCTGGTCCACTGATGGATGATCCTTGGGCCACTGACGGCTGATCCATGAGACACTGACAGCTGATTTCTGGATCACTGACGGCTGATCTGTGGACCGCTGACGACTGATATCATCTCTGTTCCACTGACGGCTGATCTCTGCACCGCTGGGGGCTGGTCTGTGGTCCACTGACGGTTGATCTTTGGGAAACTGACGGCTGGTCTCTGGGCCACTGATCTCGGGACCACTGACGACTGATCTCTAGACTTCTGGCGGCTGATCCCTGGGACACTGACAGCTGATTTCTGGATCACTGACTGCTGATCTGTGGACCACTGACGGTTGATCTTTGGGAAACTGACGGCTGGTCTCTCGGCCACTGATCTCTGGACCACTGACGGCTGATCTCTGGGCCACTGACGGCTGATCTCTGGGCCAGTAGCCTAGCGAAATAACGGCATGGATTTGTTTACCTAGTGACTCCCCATTAGGGTGACACTTATTTTTGAACTTTTGATATTTCAGGAGCGAAGGCCTGGATATGGTGTGAAACCATGCGAAAATACCTCCTGTGAATTTTCACATCGATCGAACATATTTAAAGGTAGTGTGCCAGCTTTCTTGGACCGTATGGAATAATGGCCCAGATAAGGAGAACCGGATTTTTAGAACTTATCCATACCTTCAAAACTCATGGAAACGTCTTAAATTCTTCAAATTTTGAGTACCCCAGTGCGAAATTCGCCCCGACGGGTTGTCGGTCGTACCCCAACCACATTTCACACCACTATGAACAATAAATGCACACACTGAAATCGCTATTACCGATATGCTCATCCAATCAAGTTTCGATAAACCCGTTCATCATCATCTCCTGCGGTTTCGAACACGCCTGTTAGGTGGCTTCTGATGTTCGTCGAGGTCGGAATTTCCAAATACGCGTGGTGCGTCGGGCCGCGCGCTCTGACTTCGGCCAAGAAAAATGCGTCAGCTGATCATTGTCATTTCTGCCACTTGCGTGTGGTGAAATGGGGTCATAACTTATAAGACGGCTTTTTCATATCAATTATTTTACATAAAATCATATTTCAAACCATAAATAATGTTCGACAGCCAAATAAAAGAAACAATACCAATACGGGCTTACAGTTTAAGGCTCGACATTGTGTTGCCTACGATTAGACAGCTGATAACTCATTCCCGTACGTCGTATGGTCGTAACACTATAATGACCTTTGCTTATTGTCACAAGTGCGCCGCATTCGCGATTGTTGTCCGACGCCTGTTTGCAGGTGAGCCCACTACAGTTGTTATACATATCTAAAAACCGAAAAACTTTTAGGCGAAAAAGGCACTATTCCAGGCCCATTTGTGATTTTTTTTTGCGATATTAGGTAAAAACAGAAGCTACTTATCCTAGGAAAAATAAAATGGGAAATCTTTCAAAGGTGGCACACTACCTTTAAGAGGTGCCCCAAAGCCAATTTATTGGAAACATACACCAAAAAACAAATAGCGCATTTTAATTCAATTTTTAATAAAGTACACATGCAATTTTGCTATAAACAAATCGTTGGGGGTGTAAAACGTCGATAAAAAAATCCACCCCTCCAACAACCGATAGCAATTTGTTAAAAAGATACACCTGGCACGCGCTGTCATGAAGGCACACCACCCTGACCGGCGTGTATTAGCCTCTGGCTGGGGGTTTCATGGGAGCCTAAATCCCACTCATTGCTGCTCAGCTAACGTCGAATAGCGCACGTCTGGGAAGCGCCGTTGTTCCCCGACAAAAAGTGAAAAAGACACACTGACACACAAAAAGGCACACCACGCTGTTGCGTCGTCGCGTCACTCACACACACAGCGAAGACGGCACTGCGTTCGGAGCTGTATTGACGGTCCGCTCTGTAACACGTCCGGGGAGCGACTACCCCGTCCTCCCCGCCCGGCCGGCTGGCCCCGGCCCGCCGACCGGTCACCGCCGGAGGCGCCGAGCGGCACCGGTACGATACCTGACAAGGGCGGCAGAGACTGTACACTACATCCCTCCCCAACTTATCTTTAAGTACATCACAAAGGAAATGACAATTAAACGAATAGTTCATGCTCCTCGTTCAGTGGCTTACAACGTTCCCGAACCACTGGGGTTTCACACTGAGTCGACCACTGCGCGTGCGGAGTCCTACACATTGGTCAGCCGCCTCGTCAGGAGGTCGGTCTGCCCGGGCGCTCGGCGTAGCGGCGCACGCCGGACCCTCGCGGCGTGGAAGAGAGAACGGCTCAACGAAATCACGCGGTTCAACATACTGTTTAACATAACTGCTGTTTCGCTTAAACAACTTTCCATCAGGCCTTCTCACCGTCACCTGAGAGCCGCTCACCGACACGACTCTATACGGCTCTGAGAAGAAAGCTCCTGACAGTTTAGTAAGTCTGTTCGGAATTTTCACCAGCACTCTGTCACCGACACTGATGTTGGCTGGCATTGTGTGTCGTTGTCGATCAGCGTAGCGTTTCCCCGCCTCACGGTAGCGCGCGTTCCTCTGCTGTACGACCGGCCGGTCGGGTGCCGGTGCGGGACCAGAGGCGGCCGGCATCTTGGTGCGCAGCCGCCGACCGCAAAGCAGCTCGGCGGGACTGACCCCCGTGGCGGGGTGAGGCGTGGTGCGGTACGCCAGCAGGAACGTCGGCAGGCTGGACGGCCAGCTCCTCCCCTCCGCCACGGCGGTCCGGATGGCCTTCAGCAGCGTCCGGTTCTGACGCTCGACAGAACCATTAGCCTGTGGCCAGAGAGGTGTCACCGTCAGATGTCGGATCCCACGCACCTTACAGAAGTCATCAAACTCGGCCGAGGTGAGGTTGCGAGCGTTATCGGTTGTTAACGTCAGCGGAAAACCATGGCTAGCAAACATCTTATCGAGACGAATAATGATTTCCTGGGTTGTGGTTTGAAACACTGTTTCGACTTCCACCCACTTCGAGTACTTGTCGATTACCACAAGAAGGCTCTCACCACCAGGAAACGGTCCACACAGATCAAGGTTTAAGTCTTCCCAGGGCCCTGATGGAAGTTCTGTGGTGCATATAGGCTCAGGCGGGTTCCCTGCAGACACGACCTGGCACGCATGGCACGACCTTACCAGTCTCTCAACGTCTACGTCCACTCCTGGCCACCATACGCAGCTTCTGAGCCTCTGCTTTGTACGGACGACACCCTGGTGCCCCTCATGTGCCAGGTTTAGGACCTTCCCGCGAAGTCGATCTGGAATAACGAGGCGATTTCCCCGTAACAACATGTTGTCGCATACAGATAGCTCCTGCCACAACATTCGGTACGGCCTTGGGCAGTCCTGCTTCTTACC